CCTCCCATCTCTGCCTACTTCCTGCCTTTGTCCCTTCCTCCACCCCTGGAAGCTGCTGGCGGCTTGAACACTGTCAAGGTGGCCTTCCACCATCATCTTTAATTTTGAGATGGTGCACAGTTATGGGCAAGTTTCCAATTGATTTTCTTTGAGTCTCCCAATGGCTGTTGTTGGGATTGGGGAGAAAAATACTCCATTCCCTTGCAAGGGGTTTATAAGGGAAGGAAGACCGCTGTCCTACTCCACAAGGAAACCTCTCATTTCTCTTCATTGGCCTCTCCGTACTGACTTGGGCAAAGAGGGTTCCAAGTCTCATTCTGCTGAAATGCTATTTCTCACGGCCAGTGCTGTGGCATAGCAGGCTAAGCCTATACCTGTGGCACTGGCATCCCATATGGGCACCAGTTCCTGTACCAGCTGCTCCTCTTCAGATCAGCTCCCTGCTAACAACCTGGGAAAGCAGTGGAAGATGACCCAAGTGCTTGGGTCCCTGCATCCACATGAGAGACTCAGAAGAAGCTCCTGACCTCTGGCTTCTGGCTTTGGATTGTAGCCATTTGGGGAGTAAAGAGTTTTCTCTCTGTCTCTCCCTCTCTCTGTAACTCTGTCTCGCAAATAAATAAATTTTAAAATCTTCAAAAAATAAATCCTGTCTCTCAACAATCCCTATGGGAAGTGTTTGGCCTCTATACTTGGCAACTGTCAGATTATAGAATGTACAGAACTAATCTCCTTCCCTGAAATATAGGAAATATTGCCCTAAGTACCTAACTTCTATCTGTTTTCTAAAACTGTGATGCTCTGGTCTTCTGCCCTTGTATTCTCTGGCTTGCAAGACTTGATAGGCGTGTTGGTCACAAAGTCAGCAGCAGGATTAGGGACTGGCAGCCCTCTCCTAGCTTCTTCCTTTTATAAGCATAGGTCGGCTGTCTCCTCTCTTTTGATGCTGACCATTTATTGGATAGGTTGAGATCTACAGTTTAAGGCACTCCGTTTGATGTATTCTCACTCATTTAAACAAATGATCTTCTCTCCCCAATTAGGATAAAAGCTGAAAGAAGTATGCAATATTTCCATTTAAGCATAGACCCCACTGTGGTGCCATGCACACAACAGAGAAGAACCAGATTTGCTGACTTGAGTGGAATACGAGTAACAACATAGGCTTGTGGCCCTGGGAGTTTGTGCTGTGACGTTCTGGGATGGCAGCCTGCTGCCACTAAAGGCTGGAGGACAGAGACCTCTGCAGTGACAAGAATTGCAGCCCCATCTGGTAACGGAGCTGTGCCTGCACAAAACTCAGTAATAATTCCGTTCATCCAAAACACAAACAATTCATATTTAAAGCTTAGATTCATCGTGTGAAGAAACAAAACATCTGTGTGATTGAATACTTGCTTTTTAAAGAATTGGTTTATTCTTTACAAGAGTATAGAGACAGAATCTGATAAGGAAAAAGTAACTTTCTAATAAATTCCTTGAGGAAATGTTTGATTTCTAGTTTCTTAAATTGCTGAGGGGAAGTAGGTTTTCCCTTTAGAAGTGAAAAATCAGTAATGAACCTCTAACCAACGAGAAAAAATAACTTTCTGTGAAAATTTGAAAACTAATGCTAATATATGGGCCAGTGCCAATCTTTTAACACTCCTTCAATTGAAATGCATACCATCCACTTAATAATAGTTGTTCCACAGAGACATGACCAGAAAAATCCTGGATGTTGACCATAAGATACATTCTAATATGAACATGATAATATTAAACTGTCAAAGTTAGTATTGTGCCAAGGCCTTTATTCAGTCCTCTTCACAACCTGTAACATAGATCCCATTATTGTCTACATTTTACTCAAGAAAAGTTGGCCCAGCATCAAAGCAAGTATAAATGGCAACACTGGATTCAGACTCAAAGGTGACCACTTTCGATACAGCTCCAGACTGAAAACTCTTTGCGTAGGAGAACTGCATTATTATCATGGGTTTATCTGCCTCTTCTCACCACTTCCCTTCCTACCTCCCCCCCAAACCACCATCATCTCCATGAACATGACTGCAGTATCTTCTTAATTAGCCTCTCGATTTCATTCACATCCTTATAGTCTATTCTCTACCCAGAAACCTGAGCAGTCCTTATAAACCTAGTCAGCCCATGTCATTCCCAGATTCCAAATCCTACACCTGTTCCACCTCATCCAGAATAAAATCCCAAATCCCTCCTGGCTCATGTGCAGCAAGCACACTTAGGACCATCGCACCTGCTGCCTCCTCTGCCCAGATGGATCACAACCTCGATTCTCAAAGGCTCACCTCTCACTCTCTTCCAGTTTATGTTCAAAAGTTATCCCCCAAAATCCCTGTCTACCCTCCTTAAATAACATCTTCCCCCCGATTCTCCACCTTTCACAGTATCACCTTCTGAGAAATACTTAGTTGTTTCTCTTTCTCCCTGTTCTAAACTATAAGCTTTTCAAAAACAAAGACTATTTTGTTCCATCCTTTATCCTTAATACCCAGAGCAGTGACTGGCACAGAGTAGGTGTTCAGGGGGTTTTTGCTGAATGAATCAGTACATTCAAAAGCCATATCAGTCGTAAGAATCCATGTCCTGTGACAAGGACACTCTGGGACTGTTTGTTTTTAAGATTTATTTATTCACGGCTGGCGCCGCAGCTCACTAGGCTAATCCTCCGCCTTGCGGCGCCGGCACCCCAGGTTCTAGTCCCAGTTGGGGCGCCGGATTCTGTCCCGGTTGCCCCTCTTCCAGGCCAGCTCTCTGCTGTGGCCAGGGAGTGCAGTGGAGGATGGCCCAAGTACTTGGGCCCTGCACCCCATGGGAGACCAGGATAAGTACCTGGCTCCTGCCTTCGGATCAGCGCGGTGCGCCGGCTGCAGCGTGCCGGCCGCGGCGGCCATTGGAGGGTGAACCAACGGCAAAGGAAGACCTTTCTCTCTGTCTCTCTCTCTCACTGTCCACTCTGCCTGTCAAAAAAATAAAAAATAAATAAAAATAAAAATAAAAAAAGAGAAGACTGAGCAAGTAACTCGGCTCTTCTTTAAAAAATAAAGATTTATTTATTCAAAAGGCAGACACACACACACACACACACAGAGAGAGAGAGAGAGAGCTCTTCCATTCACTAGTTCACTTCCCAGATGGCTGCCATCAGGGTTGGGCCACACTGAAGCCAGGAACCAGGAATCCCATCCTATTGCACATGGATGACAGGGACCTAAGTGCTTGGTCCATTATCTGCTGCCTTTCCAGGAGCATTAGCAGGAAGCTGAATCAGAAGCAGAGCAGTGGGGACTCCAACAGGCACTCTGCTACGGGATGTTGGCACTGCAAGTGGTTGAACCACTGAGCTACGACACTGACCCTGAGACTGTTTATTCTAGACAATTCCTACTCCATTATGAATCATCACAATTAAATGTGAAAAAAAGCTTTCATGACAGTAGTTTTATAATGAGACAAATCTGTCCTCTAACTACTGCTACATGTTGGTTAGATTAATGTGTAACATTTCATGCATTAATAATAATAATATGGTAATGATGTAGTAACCTTAACACAGTAATGTTATCAATGATAATCATAGTGGTAATTTGCTCAGTCAGTGGCCTCCCATTTGGACATCTGCATCCTCCTGGCTCCAGAGATGAACTGGGCACCTTGGGCCCTCTTCCGTCACAGGGGAGATAACAGCACCAGGAAAACGTCAGAGTCCTGAATTTTCCTTTTATGCTCAGCTCTGTGCTACCAAAGTCAACTTCAAATCCAGTAAAATTCTCCCTTGTTCTAACCCTAAGTGGAGACATTAGTTCATTATTCTTTTGAAAAATAGGTGTACTAGCTAAAAATTTTTTTTTGACAGGCAGAGTTAGACAGTGAGAGAGAGAGACAGAGAGAAAGGTCTTCCTTCCGTTGGTTCATCCCCCAAATGGTTGCAATGGCCTGCGCGCTGTGCGGACCCGAAGCCAGGAGCCAGATGCTTCTTCCTGGTCTCCCATGCGGGTGCAGGGCCCAAGCCCTTGGGCCACAGCAGAGAGCTGGACTGGAAGAGGAGCAACCAGGGCAGGACCGGTGCCCCAACTGGGACTAGAATCCGGGGTGCCAGTGCCGCAGGTGGAGGATTAGCCTAGTGAGCTGTGGCACTGTCCACTAGCTAAGAATTTTTTAACCAAATAAATAACTTGTATTCTTCTGGAGGTAGAACAACAGTAACAACAAAATGATGAAAAATTTCCAAATAACAAAATCAGTACAGTCTCTGCACAGCTGAGTTTGGAGACTGGTATCCCTTTGCTGTACAAAGCATGTGTCCTCATCTCTGTCCCCATATTTTGGTTGACTGGTTTCCCGACTTGACTTGATGCCTGGATTGTGGCTCCCACTCTCCTTCTCCATCTTCCAAAAAAAAAAATGCACAGAAAGTAAGAGTCTGAGGCCTGCAATTCAGGTATGCAAGAAATAGATCACACTAACATTTTTTCAGTGAATTAATTTCATCTCAGAAGCTTCTTGCCCAGCTGACAGGAAATGTAATTTTCAGACAATACTGGTTCCCTTGCTGTCCCCTCTAGGCCAATGCTTGCTAAGATTGCGCCAAGGCCTAGAGTCTTACAAACTCAAGCACTAGAGAATTCTGCCCACGGTTAGCAGAGACAGCCCTGGTCACAGGTGACATGGTCTTCAACTCTGCTGCTTTCAAGCCACACCAGGGCTTCACAAATCCTAGGAAGGGTTGGGACTCCTGGCTCAGGATCCAGTCTCTCCACTACCACAGGGCTGTTCCAGAGATGCCACAACATGTAGTATCCCTGGATGCTGCGGCGAGCAAGGTTCATGAACCCATAGATTTCTCACAAGACTCCTGAGCAGCAGGATCTCAGCTTCATCCGTGAATGCCTTTTCTCGCAAACCTCACGCTCTGAAATGAGTTTAGGCATTTGGAAACAAAAATCCCACTTTCTGCAAACAAGGAAGCACCAGCTACTTACTTGAAGTTGAAAAGTGAGGAAGGAGCTGCAGGGAGAAACCCCACATTTATCTCCTCAAGTGGTCTCAGCACACCGGCCCCAGTGCAAACAAACTTGAAGATCCTTTCTCTGTTGATGCATCTCTGAGGAACCCTGAAAAGGCCCACCAAGCTTGTAAAGACACAGTTAGGTAACTAGACACTAAAGGACCTTTAGCTACTACACCATGCTCTCGCTGTGTCCTCCATCTCTACTCTCCTATATATGTACCTGCACCCCAAACACAGACACAAAGTAAATGATGAGCTAAATAGGCATGATGCACACTTGTCCCCCAAGCCCGGAAGTCCAAAACTTTAGGCTGCACAATGTGTCATTAGGTCCTGCTTTTGTGCCTTGATTGTTGTAACTGAAAATGAGTGTAACAGAACTTGCTATGCCCTTTCACTCATGAGAGCTTTTCTAAAGATTTGAAATAATAGGAATTAAGCTCTTTTAATCCCTTAGTTTAAGTGTTTATATGAGGCAATCAATATAAAGTAAGATTTTCCTGGAAAGTACGATTATTAGGACGTTCTGATAATTGCCATTTGCCTTTTGTCAAACCCTATTTCCAAGGTATTTGCATCTAAAGATAGGGACAGACTAGGCTAAAACCCTCAGCAAGAATAACATAACATGCATAATCACAATCTAACGCTTTATGCATGTTTCTATTTCTAAAAATAAGCATAGTTAAAGTAAGGATGAGCACTTTGATCAGTGGTATTGCCACATGACAGCACTGCCTTCCTGATAAGAAGTGAGGTTGAAGGTCACATATCAAACTCATCACATGTGCTTCATTAATGGTCATCAATGAATCAATGATCTATAATCAGGCAGAATCCATTTGCAAAATAAACATAAAGGCTTGATTTTTTTTGTACTGTCAGCATTACCCAGTGTTGTCATTGTTGTGCCTGCATCAGGCCCAAAGAAAACGTCTTTTCTGAGTTATTATACAGACCATGCTGGCAGTTGGGGAAGGCAAGGATAAGTTAGGATCTTCCCCTTCCCGTCTCAGTGAACTACTAGAGGGGCTTGGTGTACACTGTTAACTCTAAAAATGTGGTTCTGTCCCTGTCAAGAACAGTAACCATGTTGCAAGTACACTTGGAGTTATCTAGCCCTATGAGGGATTCTATAGCAATACCTGCTCTTCCCCATTTTGGGATTGCTTCTTCCACTGCTGCATTCTAGCACACACTTTGCCTCCTAGCTCTGCAGTGCAGCGCAGCAACACAGTTCACAGTCAGCAAAGCCCCAAAGGGCTCATGTCCTCCTTTCCCTCCTACTCAGGCCTTGTCTCTTCTGACCTCTAGGAAACAGCATCTGGCCAGGAGACACTGGGTTATTTATTTCTATTTGAAAGACAGAATGAGAGAGAGGGAGACAGAGAGGGAGAGAGAGGGGGAGAGAGAGGTCTTCCTTCTGCTGGTTCACTCCCCAAATGCCTGCAACTGTTGAGACTGCAAAAGAAAGCCAGTAGCCAGGAACTCCATCCAGGTCGCCCACGTGGATGGCAGGGAGCCAAGTATTTTAACCATCATTTGCTGCTTCCCAGGATGTGCATTCGCAGGAAGGTGGATCAGAAGCAGAGGTGGAACTTGAACCCAGACACTCTGACGTAGAATGTGGGTGTCCTAAATGGCAGCTTAGAGTACCACACCTCATCCCCCACTCTCAAGGTTGACCTTCCTGATTTTTGGATTCTCAGTGAATTTTTCATCTAAATCATTTAGATTCATAACCTCTAACATTTCTCCCCAAATAGGATGCAATCTGGTACTTTTTGCTTACAAGCCAAGATGGGGTATATAGATTTGAACGACTTGGGATCAAGAGTCCAGTCGTCAAAGCCCAGTATTGTAGGCAGTGGCTGAAGGGATGGAAAGACCTGAGGAACACCAGCTGCCTCTATCGGTCCATGGTCCAGGAGGCAGAACTTCACAGAAGGACACTGCATCAGATTTAAAACATCTGAAAATGTGTGTCAGAATATGCAGAGATTGTATTAACAAGAATAAAAGCTGCCTCGTGATTAAAATAAAGGAGCTGGCCAACCTAATGGCTTCAAGTGAATAATTGTTAATAGAAAGCTTCAGAAAAAGCACTTCACATCCTGCAAGGAACACCTTCTCTCCTCCTCCACAACACTGCTATGACAACGTTCATGACGCAGGGACAGTGCGAGTGTTACGGAAGGGTGAAACTCTGGTAAATGGCATGCCCAGAGCCTCCCAGATGCCACCCATCAGGATGAAAGATGCACCACTGGGCTCCCAGGACCCCAAGGCCAGGAAGGAGTTGGAAATCCATATTATACTGCTTACAGTCAAGAGATCTGGAGGCAGATATATTTCTTGAGCCATAGGCATTTTAATTACAGCTTGATCTTTATGGTTATACATTGATTTTTGTCCACAAGAAATCTAATTTGTACTCAGGTTTTGGAAGGAAGGGGGAGAGGGAGAGAGGGAAAGAGACCCTAGCAAGGTGCTAGTGGGAGCTTGAAGGAAGCTGAGCAGGCCTGGGTAGCAGCTGCTGTTGCAATAATTGCCAGGCCAAGAAAAAACCATTAAAACATTATCACAGGGGCGGGCACTGAAGTGCAGTAGGTTAAGTGGCTGTTTGGGTTGCCTGCATCCCATAGCGGATAACAAAGATGGAGTCCTGCCTCAGCTTCCTGCTCATGCACACCCTGGGAGGCAGCAGGTGATGGCCAAAGTACTTGGGACCCCTGCCAGTCAAGTGGGAAACTCAGATGAAGTTCCTGGTTCTTGGTTTCAGCCTGGCCCATTCCTGGCTGTTGTGGGTATTTGGGGAATAAACCAGCGGATGGGAGATCTCTCTCTTTCTTTCTCTCCCTCTCTCTCCTTCTCTATTGCTCTGTCTTTCAAAAAATAAATGAATAAACCTTTTTTAAAAATCCTTTTATCACACTGGAACTGTGCTTGGTAAGTGAGTGTTTATTTCTGACTCGAAACCTAAGCTGTAGCCTTACACAGAAGAAGCTCCCAGCACTCTGCCCTCTCCATGTTCCCATTGTTTCTTTTGCTCTTTTGCATCACCTGAACAAGATTCTAGAGAAAGGAATAGGGATACAATGCATTATACTTTCGGGTGCTTTCAACTATCTCCTTTCTTGCATAACCTATTTGCATATGTGTGGCAGGTCATAATCCTTACAAACTGGGAATGCATTAACCTCTAGGGTCAAAGGGATTTTGTGGATATAATTGAGTTAAAGATTTTGAGATGAGGAGATTATCCTGAATTAACCAGTTGGACCCAATGTTATCACAACAATTTTTTTTAAAGATCTTATCTTATTTATTTAATTGAGAGGTAGAGTTACAGAGAGAGAGAGAGAGAGAGAGAGAGAGAGGAAGAGACAGAGAGAAAGGTCTTCCATTTGCTGATTCACTCCCCAAGTGGCTGCAATAACGGGAGCTAGACCGATCCAGGAGCCAGGAGCTTCTTCTGGGTCTCCCACATGAGTGCAGGGGCCCAAGCACTTGAGTCATCTTCCACTGCTTTCCCAGGCCATAGCAGAGAGCTGGATCGGAAGAGGAGCAGCCAGGACATGAACTAGCACCCACAAGGGATGCTGGTGCTGCAAGTGAAGGCTTAGCCTACTACGCCACAATGCAGGCAGGCCCTCCAGGCAATTTTTATAAGAGACAAGCAGGAGAATCAAAGTGAGAAAAGAAGAGCTGTGAAGACAGACCCAGCAGATGGAGTGGTGGGCTTTACAGGTGGAGGGAGGAACCAAGAACCAAGGGGTACAGTGACTCAGAGAAGCAGGAGAAGGCAAGCAGATGGATTTCTCCCTGAGCCTTGGAAGAACACAGCCCCCATGTCACTTTGTTAATGAAACTGGCCACATACGGTTGCCTTTACATTTAAACCTGCCCACTTCTCTGTAAGAATATACTAAAAGGGGCCAGCATTACGGAGTAGCAGGTTAGATTTCCACCTATGATGCTGGCAGCCCACATGGGTGCCAATTCGAGACCCAGCTGCTTTACTTCTGACCAGCTCCCTGCTAGTGTGCCTGGGAAAGCAGTGGAAGACAGCACAAGTCCTGCTGCTGCACCCAAGTGGGAGACCCAGATGAGGCTCCAGGCTCCTGGTTTCAGGTTGGCCCAGCCCTGACCCTTGAGGCCATTTTGGGGAGTGAATCAGTAGATGGAAGATTCTCTCTCTCTCTCTCTCTCTTTTTCTTCTTTCTCTGTAACTCCACCTTTCAAATAAATAAAATAAATCTTTAAAAAAGTAACACACCAAAAAGCAAATTAGCCATAATACAAATGTTAGTTTTCCTTCCTGGTTACTCAAACACCTCTGAAGCCCGTATATCAGATTTGATCTTTTCATATTTCCTTAACCAGGAGAACTCAACTGTTACCATTTTAGCCTTTTACAGATGATGATCGCATGAGAGCTGCTTTGTGTCAACTCAGACAGCCCCCATTATTCCTAATAAAAAGGTTAGAATATTTTTAAAAATGTTTTACAGCAAAAATATTAAGCATAACCAAGGAATGCAAACAAAGATATAAGGGCAGGCTTTGTAATGCAGCAGGTAAAATCACCACTTAGAACAGAGCATATCCCAAAGCGAAGTGCCTGGTTTGAGTTCCGGTTTCTTCACTTCTCCTCCAGCTTCCTGCTTATGTGCACCCTGGGAAGCAGCAGGTGATGACTCAAGTACTCGGGTCCCTGCCACGCATGTAGGAGACCCAGATTGATTTCAGGCTCCTGGTTTCTGTTTGGCCCAGCCTTCTCTGTTGTAGGCATTTGGGGAGTGAACCATGGAAGATAACTCTCTATCCTCCTTTCTATCTGTCTGTGTCTTTCAAATGTAATGAGAGTGAATAATAAATCAAAGCTTAAAAAAAAAAAGTTTAGAGAATGTTTCTCTTACCAGTGTTGCCATGCTGTACTGAAAAGTCTAGACTTTTACTTTAAATTATATCCAGCACTGGCTAACTTAAAGAAGATAAGAAGTAAGGAAAGCTTAAATGAGAGCCATAATCGCAGTTGGGAATCAAAATGAAATCTAGGGGGACAGAGCTGGGACCATTCTGGAAATTAGGAGGCTGAGT